CGAAATACTTCAAATAGTACTTGACTTTCTCTGAACATTTCTGAAAAAGAATAAAATAAGTTTTTTTTTATTTTTTTTTTTAAGTATTATTTAAAACTTGTAACTGAGTTATTATAAAATGTAAGGGGGAATAATTCTTTTAAGTATACTTATCACATTTTTTTACCCTTCATTTTAACAATACATATTTCAAAACTCTTTATTACGTTCTTAAGTGTGCATCTCATAGCATTTGCTTTACAATACCTTTTAACAGATTGCTTTCCAATACGAACAATTCTTGCTTAAATAGTTTTATAAGGTATTTGTCAACAGGATTTCAATTTATGTTTACAATTCATATTAAGGTTATTATATATTTAGATAACATTTATAATCATTATAAATTAGATACATTTAATAATTAGATTTCTTCACAGTACTTTCACAGTTGTTTATAAGTGAATAATTCTTCATTTCAAATACATTTATAAATAATTTAATGAATATTTATGTATTTTGTCAAAGGCAGATACATGCTTTTTGCAATAATATGCAACATTAAATATGGATGTGAAAAAAATTTTGTTTTATTTAAAACATTTTGGCGTTTTTGGAAAATAAAATAAAAGTAGCGAATACTCTATCAAGGGTATCGAAAGACGTATACAATTTTAAATGTACCGTAAGGTATTTTTCATTCTTTAAGCATAACATTTTTCTTAAAATCTATATTTTGTAGTTCAACAGTTTAGAATTTTCTAAAACAAATTCATATCAAAATCGCTGTTGTTAGTTATCGAAAAATAACCAAGTGTGATTTTTGCGTAAATGTCACTAAACTATACAATTGCTATTTCCATCACACTATGAATTGTTCTTTCATGTGAAAGTGTCCCTTTTTTCGATTTGTATGGAACTGTCGTGTGTCGAATACTATAGAAACCGTGTCAAGCGAGCTTCTGAATGTAAACAAAGAACACCCCATCTGGTGACCCAAGCTTCAAAGTAGTGTTTCACTTCTAGTGCCGACTAAGAACAAAGAAAAAGAAAATTGCGCCATAGACAAACGGATTCTGACTCCGATGAGGAGCCTTCCCTCAAAACAGCAATCGATATAAACAATTAGAGAACCAAATAGACGACATGCATTTGGACAAAGCTGAATCAGCCACTCAGCTCACTATCACCCCAAAAGACTAACCAAACAAAAGTCACACCATTCCCGCAAATAGAAAAACTCCAGCCCCAAAACAAGCAGAATTGATAAAGTGCCAATTTTTGTCGTAGATGACGTACCAAAAGCGGATGAATTTTTAAAAAACTTAAACAAGCAACAAACCGGAAAAAGGGTAACTGGCACCTTAAAAGGACGCCGCCTTGAAATACAGCCTGCAGACTCTGACTCACATCGATTCATTCGCAAAATAGTCGAAGAAACTAAGCTTAAAGCCCACACCTATTACGCTGCCCGAAGATAAAGTTTTAAAGACATAATAAGAGGCTTACCCATCACCACAGATTCCCAAACCATCACTCAAGAACTTCTTGAGAAAAGATTTAGTTTAACTTTATTACACTATTAAGAAACAGAAAAGAAACAAACCAATGCCGCTTTTCTTAGTATAATATACCAAATCAGAAGAAGTAAGGAGTATTCAAATCAAACGCATAGGTCATATAAAGTAACAAGAATCATTACGCAGAAACCTGGCCCCCCACAATGCTATAGAGGCCAGGGATTTTTTCACAGTTCCCTGCTCTGCACAGAGACTGGGTTTGCGTCCGTTGCGGAGGCAATCACAAACCTATAGAATGCACCCGTAGTCGCGACCAGCCAGCCATATGTTATCACTGCAAAGGTCCTCACCCAGCCAACTTTTCAAATTGCCCAGACCAAAAAAAACAACAAGTTCAGTTCCAACCCAGTCCTCCACCAGCAACCAATCCCTGGACTAACAGAAAACAAGACTTTCCTCCGCTGACATCAAACAGTAACGAAAATATCGCTGTAACCTCCATTCAAAACGAAATTCTAACAGAAGAAACTACCAGCACCGCAGAATCCTCCCTGTCAGACCTCTTTGACTTCTCTACGCTAAAAACAATCTAGACGTTACTGATACAAGGACTAAAAAACATTAAAACCAAGAAATTACCTCTTGATAAAATAATCGCAGTAGTCGAAATCATTGAAAAAATAGGAAATCATCTTTAATGCTAATAAATTCAAGAATAGGTGCAGCATAAAAATCCTCTCTTGGAACGCAAACGGTCTTTACCACAAAAAATATGAATTATCCAACCTCATTACTGAAATTGAACCTGACGTAATACTCATACGAGAAACTCACCTTAGACCAGCACTCAAAGTACTATATGCTAATTGATCCACCTACCGTACGGATCGGGAGGGGGGTGGCATTATCACATTTGTTAAAATGAACATAAAACACTCCCAAATTCTAAATCCCAGCACCACTTTCGAAAGTAACATAATAGAAATTGCAATAGAACATAAAAAGTTCAAAATTTCTAATATATGCTTTCTACCACATAATAATCTCAGCGCACAAGAACTGATTCACTTCCTTAATTCCAATACTTCTGCCATTGTCGGAGGGGATTTTAACCCCAAACACCCCTGCTGGAACCGGGGACTTGCAAACAAGAAAGAAAATGACATATTTAACCTCATTCAATCAAATAATTATAACATTCATGCCCCAGACGAGCCCACCCATTACGGGTACAATAGCGTCACACAATCGACTCTTTCATCACAAATAACATTACTAACAGATGCAATATTTCTGTAATTCCAGCCCTCTCTTCCGACCACAACCTCATTGTATTTGAAATAACCGTTAATAAATACCTCCTTTCACTTGACAGAAGTACAGGAGTTACAAATTAGATCAAATACTTCTGAAATCCTGAATAACTCCATACAAGGTAACCCATGCATCAACAATACAGAAGATTTAGAACACGAAGTCTCAAAATTTACCAACGCATCAATTCTGCTTTAAAGGAAGCCACCAATACTTTTTATGTGAACAAGCCTTTCCTTCCCTGCCTGCCGATATAAGAAATAGGATTAAAGAGAAAAACCGGATCCGTAAAAGATGGCAAACCACCAGGGATCCACAACTCAAACACGAACTAAACTCTATGCAAAAAGAATCAACAGAAGAATCAAGAACTTCAAAAAACCAAAAATGGACCAATTTCCTAAATAACCTAGCTATAGAGGACAATTCCCTATTTGACATTTCCCGCAAATCCAAGAAACCTTATAAACCTATTCCACCTATCCATGGACCTAGTGGAACATCATATACAGAAGAAGATAAAGCTAAATCTTTTGCGGACTATATGGAAGATACATTCACTCTTAATCTCACTCCGTACGACAATAACCATATTGAATGGGTCAACCAGGTGGTCAATAACTTCCTTAACACCCCTGCTCCGTACAACTTCACTTTGCTGACTACCCCAACCATCGTTGCCAACACTATCAGCGCCTTACAAACGAAGAAAGCCCCAGAGCACGATGGCATCTCGACCAAAGCACTGAAGCATCTTCCGATCAACGCTCTTATCTGCCTAACTAAAATAATCAACAACATTATCAAATTCGCTCATTTTCCTAACTCGTGGAAGTAAGCTATAATAATTGTTTTTGCTAAACCACAAGAAAAATCCAACTCTCCCACAGAACTATCGCCCTATCAGTTTACTTAGCCACCTGTCTAAAGTTACTGAGAAAATCCTACTTTTCCACATCCAAAAAATTCACACTTCCATGAATTTTCTCCCAGAAGAACAATTCGGCTTTCGTAATCATAATAGCACTTGCCACCAACTTCTTAGAGTTATCAACATTATCACTGAAGGCTACAACTGCAAGCTTCCGACCGGTGCTATATTTCTCGATATCGCGAAAGCTTTTGACAGGGTATGGCATCGAGGACTTATTTACAAACTAATCACTCACAATTTTCCAGATCATTTTATTCGCTTAATAGCCTCTTTTCTCAGCAACAGAAATTCAGAATCAAAATTGGTACTGCTTACTCAACCACCAGAGTAATCAAAGCTGGTGTTCCCACAGGGGTCGATACTTTCCGCAGCATCTTTTTAATATTTATGCGCAAGATAATCCCTAAAGACCCTTCTATTCATCTTGCACTCTTTGCCGATGACACCTCATACTTTCCAAAGCCTGCACATGTTAATCACCGTAAGAAACCAACCTCGAAACTATTCTCATAAAACTGGAAAGATGGCTCACCTCTTGGAGTATTAAAATTAACACTAATTAAACCGAGGCAATAATTTTCCGTAAAGGGAACATGAAATACTATCCTCTACCTCCCTGAAATAATTGACGAAGAAATAGACTGGATTAATGAAACCTAATACCTTGGAGTCACCCTTGACCAAAACTTACCTTCAGAACCCACTTCCGGTCTGTAGCACAAAAATTTAAAATCACCACAGCTACTATGCGACCTCTTCTTGGTAGAAAAAGCAACTTATCTACTACAAACAAATTAATTCTATATCCCTCCATACTGCGCCCAGCTCTTCTATATGCAGCACCGATCTGGGGACATGCAGCTAAAACCAATATTAAACAATTACAAATTCTACAAAATAAAATTTTACGAGAAATTATTAATGCTCCTTGGTATATTCCCAACATCTATATCTACAGAGACCTTCGAATGGAACTTATTCAAGAGTATATTAAACGATTAGCGGTCAACTTCTTTTATTCAGTACAAACCCACAGTAATAGCCTTATTAGCACTCTCAGACACTCCCGCGTCCCAGAGAAAACATCGCTACCCTTGTGATATCCTCCCCCACATAAGATTCACAACCTTAATTGAATCATTCACGCAAAACTGACTCTGCGGTTTACCACGCGGCTACATCTTATAACGACACTGAACTTGACACCCCCCCCTTTTTTCGCCGCGCTAGTGCGGACCTCTCTCTTTCATCTTCCTCCCAAACACCCTTTCACCCTTCTCTTTCTCCCCCGTCCCGATCTTTATCAGAAGTCGAGTAAAAAGATGTTTCTACATCTTGACACTCGAGAATAAAATACGATCTGTGTGTGTATAGTGCCGACTGGAACCTCCTTCCTTTCCTACCTCCATGATTGCGAAACATGGATAGCGGTATTAAGATGATGAATGTCACGTGATAGTAGGAACTTTTCTTTGCTACTATTACTAAAAGCGGGGGATACAAGTCTAAGACAATTTTTGGGTTTAGTAGAAGCACTTGTTTTCGTTTTCTATCGGAATGACTGATCTGAAAGGAAAAGTTGTGCTTATTACAGGTATTTCTTTGAAAGATAAATCTTGTAGAGTACTGTCGTAATGATTGTTCGGCTTTTAATGTTATTTCTTTACATTTAGGTGCTTCCTCCGGTATTGGTGCTAGTACGGCTGTGCATTTCGCTACTTTGGGATGCAAACTTAGTGTAGTTGGTAGAAACGAGATAAATTTAGAGAAGACTATCGAAGCTTGCACGAATGCTGGAACAGAAAGTTCTGATGTAAGCCCTTTTCTGTGTTCCCCCCTTTCTTTTTCTCATCTTTACCCCTGCGTGTAAAGTAGGCATTAATTAGCTGTAAATTTTTGAAGTATAAAATTACCCTTACAAGAATTATGAATTTTTGAGACCTTTAATGCACATATGAAATTTAATTTATTTGTATTATTAAAAATTTGATTATTCTATTGCATTTAAGTGCAGTTTATTCTATTTCTTTTAATGAAATTTGATGTCGTGTATTTTTTCATCATATATATTATTGCTTTGGCATTAGATAACCTTTTCATGTAACCTTGTTGTCCTTAAACTATATGCTTTTCACAACATAATCTTTTAGGTGATATTGGCAGGGTTTCTTGAAATATAGGCATATTTTGTAGCCTGAGCTTAATTTTATGACTATGACTAATGTATGGGCTGCAAACTCAAGAGGTGAGGGGGATATTTGCAAATACTCTGCGATAACATTTGAAACTCTCAAGACTTTTTTTAAAATCTAATTTGTTGTCATTTCTATTCCAGGTTTAAAAAAAAAAATGCATTAATTCTTGATTTCCCTTTTCTAATAATTAGCAAAGAATAAATAAGTGGGAGTGATAGCTAAAAAATGCATTTTATAAAAAATTTGCATTATAATAACATGGCTTTATAGTATATTTTATGACAGCAAATTATTATGCTTACATATTTATTTTCATAGATATTAAAGATGGTTGCTGATATATCTAAGGAAGAAGAAATTAATAAGATAATTAAGTCCACTATTGATTATTTTGGGAGACTAAATGTTTTGGTAAGTTAAAAATTGTAAATGACTATTTACTTTTCATTTCTTTAATCTGTACACTTGCATGCAAAATAGTCATTCTTTATTAGACTTAAAACTCAGTGTACTAACGATGTGTAATAATAAAGTTTAAAGCCCTGCATTTTACAATAAAAATATAACATTCAGAATAAAGCAATAATAGATAACATTTCATTTGGGAAAATTTTAAGTGTAGAAACAACTAATTTCTGACTGATAATCATGTTTTAAAAAGTAAGATAATTGTCTAATTTTATAATAAAAAAAGTCGTCATCATCAAAGGAAATTTCACATAAAATCAAGTAAAAGTCGATTGTTATATGATAGCAACAAGGAAGGGAAGAAATTCTGTGCTTATTTATACTGTTATATCTCAGGAAATGGGCAGGTTGGGTTTAATCCTAGTATCCGGTGCACATGGGATTTGGCTGCTTTTGGCGACTTTATGATGAGCAGTAAAAACGGGATATAAACGATGAGTAGTAAACGGGTCATTCAAAGAATATATATAGTTATATATAGTATATATTATGTATTTGGCTCTAGTGTAAAATTGGGTGCCCCTTCGATTAGCGACAATTTTTTGTAAAATTTTGGCGATGAAATCATATTTCTGGTTACCATGATAGTATAACTTTGCTTTAGCATCCTGATTTTTTTTAACCCCTTAACTGCCGCGGGCGTATATATATGCCTTGCTCAGCCGATGCGTTAACTGCCCAGGCGTATATATACGTCCTTCCAAACTGCTATCATTTGCTTTGCGCGCTACAACCTAAAATTATTCCAAAGTTAACGCATCGGCTGTGCATCTGGGGCAGTTAACGCATCGGCTGAGCAAGGCGTATATATACGGCCGCGGCAGTTAAGGGGTTAAATAAAAATAGATTGATGTGTACATGGACAAATTTAAACAGTGCACAATGCCTAGTTTGTGCAATTCTGGGATGTTTTTTTAAGTGAAAACAGATCGATGTGTACATGGACACACAGTTTATGCAATTCTTTGACTTTTTATTTTGGTTTTGTGTAGCGGCCATCTTGAAATTGTGTCTTCCTGACACCGATCTTGCCGTCAAAAAAGAATCTCCAATAAACAAGGGGCACCCAATTCTAAACTTTTACCATGTATTTACACACATAGTGTATAGTATATAGACGTTCTTTGGATCATTTTTGGTGTTGGCGATAATTTTCCAAATCGTGCCAAGGCTGCACCGTATACTAGGATTTTACCGCAAGTTGTAATAATCCATGGAAAGGGAGGACACTTTATGTGATTAAACAGAGGAATGGGGAAAAGTGTAGAATCACCCACTGCTTGGTGCGTTTTTAAGGATTGCACATACTCTGTATCCATGTACACATCGACCAATTTTCACTTAAAAATAAGATAAGAACTTTTCATCTGCCTGTTTTCGCTCATAAAGAAGTTTACTTTTTTGCTTAAGATGATCCTGCTAATGGCAGGTTTTAGCAATTGTTATTATATTCTTGGTACTTAATTTTGAATTAAATGAAATGTTAACTTATTACAACCAAAGTTTATTGTCTTTGTTAGTTTTCATTTTGTTTTCTTTTATGTAATATGTTTATTATTAATTATTTTATTTTAATTCATGCTTTTCAGTTTTTATAACATTCTTTATTGCATTTCACGTTTTTATAATTTTAGGTGAATAATGCTGGGATAATGAAAATAGGTACTGCAGAAAATACTGCCATGGAAATTTATGATGAAACAATGAATGTTAATGTTCGTTCTCTTTTTCTCATAACACAGTTGGCAATTCCACATTTAAAGAAAACCAAAGGTATGTTGAATATGAATTTAATTCAGAAAAAGCAAATGTATCATTATTTGAAAAAGTCAGAATATATTCAAAATTCTGACTTAGATATAAATCTCAAATTTTTCTCTTTTTGTTTCTTTTACATTTTATTTTTGCAAACTCTTTTTTTTTTTTTTTTTTTTTTTTGGTCCTGTAAAGATAGCTTGTAAAAATAGAAACAGTTAGAATATTTGACTTTATAGCACTCACTTTAGATGAGTTATTGATTTTTCTTCAATACAATTACATTTTTGTTTACTTCTGATCGTCCGTGTCTTGAAATTTAGACATTCAGTTGAACTATCATGATTCTGACGTATCTTTTAGTATGCACATGTTAACCAACCTATAGATGCATATGCGAAGTATATGTCAGAGTACACATTTACACACTTTATATTTAGCTGCCTACTACCATGTCATTAATCAGTGCAATTTCTAGCAAGGAAACTTATAGAAACATGCTATTTCTAGGCTAGAAAATGCCCTGCTTCCTTTTCCTAGTGCATTTTTAGAATGATAGATGCATCAAAATAAAAAAATTTATTTTGGAAATATCTTATGCATTTACATAATATTTTAATATAAGATAAAATTGTAATCCCCTATTTTTCTGAATTTTGTTTTGTTTTTTTACCTTACATAGACCAAGATTCAGATTTTAGTGCTTAACTCACTAATTCATTTCTGTATCTGAGGTAAATCCAAAGTGATTATGATATGCATTCATATTGATCTTTGTGTGCTAATTATTTACAAAAACATTCAATTTCCGTCTTGAATTTATAATGATTTACTAGTGCTTTTCTCAGATTAAACAGTAAATTCTTAATTTCTGCCTGAAGACTTTAAGAAAGTGTAAAGTAACTATCATCATTTGTTTTGGAAGTATGAACACTTCAAAGGAAAAAAAAAAAAAAACCTACAGTGTTAATAATTGTCTATTTGTAGCAAAATTCAGATCTATCTTAATTTAATTTTTTATTTATTGCCTTATATTATATTTTGTAATTGGTGCTTAATATAATATATTAGTTTTTAAAAATTAAGCAACAAACTGAAAAACAATAAATTAGGGAAAAGTATTTTAAAATTTGGATATCTTAGTAATAGAGCTGCATTATGCAAAAGAGTGACTTTACGAAAATACAGTATGACTTACAATGAGCTGTTTAGAAGAGAATCTTTATTCATTGAGTGATGGAATAATCAAAAAATGTTGTGTAAAGTTTAGAAATGAATTCAAGGTGACATTTGCCAGCAGAGGCATAGACTTATTAGAAGTAGGTCAGTGACAGTCTGATATTACAAGATGGTCAAATGTTCTATGGTAAACTGGTTTTTGAACTGTTCAAATTACTGGTTTGAATAATTCTATTTTAGCTTAAGATGGAATAAAAGTAACAAAACCATAGGTGTTACAGAATACAGAAACGCTACAGAATAATAATTTATAGAATATAAGCACGAGAATACTGTAGTATTGCCAAAGAGTGCAACAAAAGTGTAACAATGAAATTAAAGATTTAAAACTCCCTTCAATTTTGGTGTCACTAGAATTGACAAAAATATGATCAATGACTTAAGACGGAAAAACTTAACTAATCATTAAATGAAAAGCAAATCTTAAACTAAAATATTAAATGTTAACTAATACAAATCTGTAAAAGGTTCACCTGAGAGCCTTATCATTCATACTGGACAGTTCTCTTAACCTTTTAAATTTTACCTTGAAAAGAGCTTACATGATGATATCTTCTAATTACTCTTCAGGTTTCACATACTTTACGATAACATATTTGTCTTCAAATTTTTCCCAAATAAAATGGTAACACACTTGAGTGTATATTCTGCTTAACACAGATTTTTGATCAACATAATAGCACTTTGATTGTCAAAGATAATAATACCCTGGTTACCCATTTCAATTTTACCTGCATCTTGTAGAAGATGGCACAACTGTAATACTTCTTTCACTGCAGTTGAAGCTCATATATATTCAGTCTTGGTGCTAGAAGTAGAAGCAGTGACTGCTCCTAACTACATCAACACTTTTTTTTTTTTTTTTTCTAAAGCTGAAAGAGGTATAAATGATGGTTTAACGAAACTTAACGAACTGTTTGAACCAAAAAAATTATTCGAGTAGGTTGTGCAATGCACATTCTATACAACACTATTCAAACAGCATCTGACTTACATCCAGTGGATGTTGAAAATATTACTGAAAAAATTTATTCGTATTTTTATATATAGACTGTGCGTGTTGAAAGTTTGAAGGATTTTTGTGAAAGCGCAGAAATCGAATATAAAAGAATTATTGGTTACAGCAAAACACGATGGCTAGCTCTTTTACCAGCTGTAGATAATATTTTCAAAATATACGAACCATTAAAATCATACTGTTTATCACACGATATGTCCAAGAATATTGCAGCTCTTTTTTGAAAATGACACATCACAAATTTGGCTTCAGTTCATCCACAACCAAGCTACATTATTTCACAATGCTGTGAAAATTATTGAAGGGGACAAAATTTTAGTTATGAAAGTGTCAAATGAAATAAATAATTTAAAAACAAAATTGCGAGAAAGAATTGATAACGATTACGTTCCTTTAGTTATTCGAATGCGAGAAAGAATTGATAACGTTACGTTCCTTTAGTTATTCGAAAGGACAGCACTAGGTTAGAAGAACAAGGGGCCATTAAACGACCTGATTTTCTGAAAGAAGTCGGAAATTTTTATAATAGCTGCTGGGAATATCTTGAAGAACAGAGAGTTAAATTAGAGGATATTAAAAACTTTCATTGGGTAACATTAAAAAAGGAGATTTTATGGGAATATGTGGAAAATTCTTTTTGATATATTAGTAACCATTTTCCAAAAAATAATATTTGCGAAAATGATATTTTTGATGAGGTGTCATGGTAAAAAGATAAGTTATTACTGATGAAAAAATTAAATGTTGGTTGTCTACAAATGTGGAAGCAGACAAAAAATGGACAGAGTTATTCTTTCTGTTTAAACAGAATAATATTCCTTATGAAAATATTTTGAAAACTGTAGAACACATGTTCTCCCTTTCAGGAACAATTGCAGCAACGGAACGTGTTTTTTTCTAGTATCAATAAAGTATGGACAGTTGAAAAAACGCAGTTGAACATTAAAACTTTAAAATCTGTATTAAGGTTAAAATATAATTTGACCAATTCATGCAAGAAATTTTGTTGCATTTTATTGAATGATCCAAATCTATTGCAAAGTATTCACTTGGATAAAAAATATGACCATGAAAGAAAATCGTATTTTTTTAAAATAAAATATTAATTAAACATAATATTCAAATTATTGTTTTTATAAATATTTTTATAGTTACCAATAGTTAATAATAAATGTATTTTTGTATATTTATAGACAAGTATATGAATGTATATAAAATATATTTTTTGAATTATTGGTCTGCTTTCATAACTAAATTATAATTCTCATTTTATTCTATTTGTCCCACTTTTTTTCAATGAAAATGTGGTCACTTTAATTAAGAGGCTATTTCTAAATTAAATTATAAAGCTGATTTACATATTTTTATCTTACATATTCGCCATCTTTAAAGAGAAAAAAACTTGCTGACAGAAAAAACTTTTTAGAAGAAAGCATTAAACCTTCCGAAAATTTATTATTATTTTTAGAATACAGAGAGGACATCCCCAAAATTCAAATTCGGGAATTACTAGGTTATTACTAAATTAAATCATAAAGCTGTTTTATATATTTTTTATCTTACATATATGAGTTCTAGTTTTTGATCAGCTATTTGCATCATATTATACACACAAAAATACGTATGTCAATCAGAAAGTTTGTTGCACTACTGCGTAAATATGTTCCATCTAAGACTATTTGGATGAACAATTGTGTGTGGCAACAATTCAGACATGTACCTTTATTGCGTGATGTAGTGGCTTCCTCGAGGCAAGTTTAGCGTTTCTGATAATCGGTCGTAAACATGTCTCAACGGCTACAAATAGCATCCAAATTGGAAATGCATGCTGTGATTCATTTTTTGTGGGCAAAAAGGTGCAACTACATTGAAATTTATGGGCAGTTTCATAAAGTGTATGGTGAAAATGCAATGTCAGGTCAAGCTATCGTGAAAGGTTGCAACATGTTTGAGAATGGATGTACAGATATTGACGACGCTGCAACAAGCGCGAGGGAAGACCATCAACTGCAACAAATTTGGAAATCGCTGCTTGCGTGAATGAATGCATTCTTACAAATAGATGCATAACGATAGATGAAATCTCAAATGAACTGGTTATTTCTCATGGAAGTGTGCATAAAGTTATTGCCGATCATCTAAATTTCGTAAAATTTGTGCTCGATGGGTGCCACGTGTATTGACGGAGGAACATAAAGGAAAGCGTTTTGAAAGTGCATTTGCATTTCTGCAACATTACCAAATGGAAGGAAATGAGTTTTTGGACAAAATTGTGACTGGAGATGAAACTTGGATTTCCCACTTCTCACCTGAAACGAAATGCAGCTTGCTTGAGTGGAAACATTGCAGTTCCCCGACACAAACAGTGTCGAACTGTTCCATCTGCAGGAAAGGTGATGATGACACTGTTTTTTTAACAGAGAAGGTGTGGTGCATACAGAGTTCATGCCGAAGGGTGCAACAATGAATGCATCTTCTTATTGTGAAACACTAAAATGATTGCAACAATCATTTAAAAATTGACAGTCAGGTAAACTGTCGAACGGCATTGTACTCCTACATGACAATGCAAGACCGCATGCAGCAAAACAAACGTGTGACCTTCTGCCCTCCTTGGACTTCCAAGTGTTTTGGTCCCATGAAACGTGAAGAACTTCAAAAGCCCAAGCTTTGACCTTCCATCCGAAGTGGCTTCATGAAACCAAGTAATTGAACAAGCGACAGATACTTCGCATGCCAAGAAAGCTGTTGCCTGGGTCCTTGAACATTGGACCAAAATTTATTGCCAATGGCAATTTATTAAAGGCATATTAACTTGTGCCAATGCCTCGACAAATGCTAAATTAATGAGGTAATTATGTTACAAAGTAGATTTTGAATGGAACTTTAAGATATAAATAAAGTTATTGTAAAGTTTTGCTCTTATTTTGTTTTCTTAGGCTGTGCAACTAACTTTTTGACTTACCCTCATACATTAAACTTTAGTTTGAATAACATTCGTTTTGATGTGTCTCCTTTTTTTTTTTTTTTTTTTTTAAAAAACCCTTTGCGGCACAGTGTGTCCGGTCTGGACACGTTTAAAAATCTCCTTCTGTATGCATAGAAAAATTGAATGAAAAATGATTTATATGTTACTATAGGTTATTCTGAACCTTTTTTATTTGAACCTTCTTTATTCTTTTTATTCTTTATTTTTATGCCATAGTAGATGGCAGCTCAACACAAACCAGTCCATATATTTTAGCCATGTTTAGTTTTTTAAGACTCTCATTTTTCAAAGAAATCTTCCAGATTTTTTTAGGGTATAAAAGGAATTGTTTGAAAAAAAATTCTATGTTATTTTTTTGGCTGTATGCTAATCTCCTTATTCTATATTAGTTTTAAATTTTTACCTTGAAATCTTGCTTTTAAAATCAAACGGCGAAGGGCACACCGATAAACTAGGACAACTGAGAGTCTGTATTCTTTGTTTCTCTGCATCTCATCGGTCGGTTCATTGACAACAAAGCTCGTTTCAGCATTCTTTTCGAAGTTGTATTCAATCAGTGTGCCAGCACTTTGGGCACACACAGAATTAAAACGATAAGTGCTATCTTCACAAAATTTTACTTGTGTACTCCTGTAGGCCTAATTAGACTGCATACCCTTTTTTTTTTTTTTTTTTTTTTTTTTTTTTTTAACTACTATGATATGCGCCCTCAAGTCGCCAAATTTCTCGCCAAACATTTTTGGCGAGAACTCCACGCTGCCATATTGCTATCTAAATTTTTTGTCTACATTTCGAACTTTAAGCCTAAAATGTCTCCGAAAACACGGTTTTCATGAATGCAAAAATCACGTTTTGAACACACAATTTAAGCTAAAAATCCGAAAAAAAAAATTTAGAAAGCAAAACCGTAAAGTTTCTAACCAAAATTATTTGACAAGAGTCCATGTACTCAGCGATATGTTTTAACTTTAAAAAAAATCTACGAATTGCACAATTTAAACAACAAACGAATCCACGAACTACGCACACCTCACTTTAATACATTAACATAACAACAATAAATTTCAAAGAATACCATGTACATAGCGTCCTGTTTCAACTTAAAAAAAAAATCTACGAATTGCACAATTTAGGCAAAAAATGTGAACTACGCACAACTCACTTTAGCAAATTAACATAACAATAAATATCAAATAATATCATGTACACAGCGTCCTGTTTCAACTTAAAAAAACATCTCCGAATTGGATAATTTAGGCAGAAAATGAATCTACAAACTGCGCACAACTCACTTTAATAAATTAACATAACAACAATAAATTTCAAAGAATACCATGTATACAGCGTCCTGTTTCAACTTTAAAAAAACATCTATGAATTGCACAATTTAGACGGTAGGCACTAATCAACAAAATAGCTAAAATAAATATAAAACAATTAAAAAAAACAACAATAACAGAAATTCATACTAAAAAACAATGAACATAACATTTTACAAAATAAGAACAAAAATAAAATGCACTTACCATGAATTAATGCTTCAGCAGAAATACCAATTTCCATACCGCCACGTAATCACTATCGTATTTATGACAGCCAGACACACTATCCAGAAAATTCATACTATGGTTCACAAATAAATAAAATAACAAATAATCACAAATCCCTACTTTTATCATGCACAGCCACTAAAAATAATCTTTCAGACTCTCTTTCCACACCTCCAAATACCCACTGCCCCTCAACAGGATGGCCATGACAATATTTCCTTTTGCCGAACTTCAATTCAACAACTTCTACCATTTTATCTTTCCCCCCTAGCTTCTCAGACACAGAGCATGACGCAAACCAACGAACTTCACCGAAAGATTTTTCAACGTCAACAGGGTTACCATACAACACGCAATCGCACCAAAAACCGGCACAGAATACAAATCGCCACATTTGGTGAAATTAGGGCGTATATCAGAGTTGTACCTTTTTTTTTCATCAAAACTCCGATTTTAAAAGGGTTAAAGAAAAATTTCTAAATTTCTAATTTTTAGTCTATCATCTATATGATATAACAAATTTGTATCTTCCATCTTGTTCTTTACAAAGGTACTACTTATCTGAATGTTGTTGAAAAACACCATAGAAAAAAATTCCTAAATAACAGTTCATTTTAAAGTTAGTAATAAAATGGTAGAAAAGTGTAATATCGTGAAAATCAATAGCACTATAAAGTAATAATCACTAAATAATATACTTTATAAAATGTATATGCGAAAATAACAAGACATTGGTGATGTATTTTAAATTTATGAACCCTTACAATGTAAATCATGAAAATATTGAGGCATAACTTAAAGAATGTGTGTAGAATATATTGCTTATCATTTAATTCATTTATTTACCAATGAATACTTATCAAACCTTTTATTATAGGGAATATAGTTAATGTGTCAAGTGTAGCTGGCCTTAGATCTGTAAGTATATATGTTTCTGATTATTATGCATTTAAAGTTATAGTAGTTATTTGGATTTCTTTTTAGAACAATAAAATGGATGTTAATGTTACTGAATATTCTGGTATAATTTGACCTATAATTTCAAACTCTATTTTTCAAATTTTAGGTATATTTGCAGTATAATGTGCACCCTTTTCTTTATAAAGAAACCCGAAATATAACATGCATGTTGCTGTCATTTTTTGGTCATCATTTAAATATTTTCCCCGGGCTTCCAAACAATGTACTGAATTGACAAGCAATAAGAAAAACCTTATGTGTGTGTGGGGGGTGGAGTGCTTGAGGAAGTAAGTAACTCTGCGAAGAGGAGGGGTGGTACTCAGTGCAGGTGTGCGTGAAAATCTTATAGTAGGATTTTGAAATAGTGGACAGAATTTGGAGTAAGAATGCACTTGTGACCCAAATGAATTCGCAGAATTAGGAGTTGGATGTTTTCTTTTTCTGTACTCATTTAAAGTCCTCATTTTTAAGCGAACATCGAAGGCTTTAATAAATCACGTTTGCTTTAGTTGAAATACAGTTGATCTAATATTCCTTTTAGTAGTAAATATGGCTCCTTTTTCATATAGTGCATTTTCCCTCTTTTAGTAATAAATATGTAAATAGTAGTAAATGTGATTAAATTAAACAAACACAGTGCTCTTATCAAATGTGAAGTCATCCAGTCTAAGAAAGGAAATTGGAATTTTGCTTTCGAAAGGTGTTTGGTGCTGGTGAAATCTCCATACACGGGTGGAAGAAAAATCGCTGTAATTAATATACCAGAGAATAAATGTACTTTGTATAAAGGAGTAATAAAACGATCTATCCTAGAAGAAAGTATTGCAAAGTGGATCCTAAAAAAACTACCGGAATGGATTAATTGTAACAAGAAACAAAAAAGAACGCAATTGAAAGCGAAAACTTTAAAGCAGCTTTGAGTTGGTGAAGTTGATTTATGGTAGGAGAAAAAACAAATGTTTTGTAAAGGTTTCTGAAAAATTTGGCAGAAAAATTATTTGCTGTCACATATTGGAAATATGGATGACCAGTAATGTTTGATTATGATAGGAAATAAAACAATTGATGTGAAAGGAACAAAGACGTTTCTCGTAAAAACAACAGGTCATGAAAATTTCACCTCACCATAGTGCTTTCCTTAGCAGATAGTAAAAAATTTAAACACATGGTTATTTTAACAGAAAAACAATGCCAAAATGTAATTTCCCGGATAGTGTTTTTATTCATGTTCACAAGAAAAGATGGATAGATAAAAACAGTGTGAAATTGTAAATAAGAAATATTTGACAAAAGCGTCCTGTTGCCTTAAAGAATCCAGAAAGTCTTTTAGATTAGGATATGTTCATAGCCCATCTAATGGATAATATTAAGAAATTGTTGAAAGAGTGTAATACAGACATGGTAGTTATTCCACATGGATTAACACCATTAGTTCAGCCTTTAGAAGTGTGTATCAATAAATCATTCAAAAATTTAAAATGACAGTAAAGTACATGGATTTTAGAAGGTAAAAATCATTTCAACAGAAGGAAGCCAAATGCATCATGCCAGTCTAGAAATAGTGTGCGAGTAGATAATAAAAGCATGGAATGAAATTTAACCTGACAGTGATTAAAAAAATTATTTAAAAAATATAGCATATCCAACAATGTAAATGGAAGATGATTATATATTTATGGATTGGAGTAACTATGATGGTGAATATGAAACAGAATTTGATGATGTGCCTGAAGATATAAAAGAATACTAATATGACAATTTTTTCATGCTATCTGATAATGAAAAATTTTAAGTTCACAAGGTAAGTCATTTAAATAAATAGGAACATGTAGAAATCTAATTTTTGTATGCTCAACTTTTCCTTATTTTTAAATCTATCATTTTTATATCGGTGTATGATGCACATCCGTAAATTTTGATTTTATTTTTCATGTTAAAACTGCTCTTTATATGCTGTAATGTAGGGTAATTCAACAATAAAAATAAAAACTGTATGCTGTTACTTTGATTTTATCTTTTAAGCCTTAAATGTACAATATCTATTGAATAATTTTTCTAGGCGATACCGTATAATTTTTTTAACGGTGTCGCATTTGCCTAATTAACCAATGATAATTATTTTAGCTGTATTTTTATTTCATCTGCAAACAATATAAATATGTTTCTAAAATATGAAAAGTCTTTTCTTCTTATTCCTTTCTTGTAATGAATATGTTTTAATGCTATAGAGTTTTACATATGTTTATCAGTTAGCCTCCTTTTTGTGATAAATCCTGTTATTTTACTAGCCACAGAATGGCTGTTTAATGTCATTTTACTAGCCATAGAATGACTGTCAAATGTTTTAATTTTTGAATTTGTTCTATTATTAATAGTTTTGCGGTTTAATCAAGATTATATTTCAGATATAGATGCTTAGAGAATTTAGGCATGCTATTATAGTTTATTAGATATAGCTAGCAATTTAGATTATCCTTGCCTGAGAACATTTTTTCATCAGTAAAATTATATATGAGGAGAAAAAAAACAAAAACATCTTTTTATTAGTTATCATTGTTTTAAGAGATGCAACACTTTAGGCAGATAAATCTAAATTTTTCTACCAAAATTTTTCTTCTCTGCTTAAAAAAAAGACTATTAGGTTTAACTATTAGATTTGATTCATTATTTAAAATCTTCTAGAAAATAGTTTACATTTTAAATCATTGCTATTTTTCAATTGGGAAGATTTATCTTTTATTCAGTTACTGTAAATTATCACAATCTTTAAGCAGTTGAACCCTGTTATGACAAACTGGGCTTTTACTTCTGGATGTAACTAACAAATCTTTTGGTCTTGTCTAATTTTCCTTACAGTTAGGGCCATTTATGTTGGGATTTATTTGAGCTAATAAAGTCCATTTCTTGTGTCGACTAGCTGCGCTATACCTGAAGTTCAGATTTTTCAACTGAAGAAAAACCAGTTTTTTACAAAACCATGAAGCTATGTAGGCTGTGCCAGATGTCTCCATTAGCTCAGATAAACTCTATTGTGAATGGCTTTTTAATGTTATTTTATACTATTATGGCAAACTTCCAAGAGTAAGAAAATTGGATATAATAAACTGTGTGGATATCTTTAATCAAAATTTTTTCATATTTCTTTCAGAATATTCACAATTGAAAATTTTACTTAGATGTTAAAATCATCAGTGTTTGGTTTATTAGAGTCCACATTCCATTTGTAGTGGAAAACACCATTATATTATTTTTTTTTCTTTGTGTTCTAAACAAAGCTCTTTGGAACAAGTGTGACACTCTAGTCGAATGAGGATAAAATAAGCATGTCATAGGGCACCATTTAGTATACATAACCTGTGAAAACATGGATTGATTCTCTGATTCCATTCAAATTCTTAATGAGCTGCCAAACAGAACTCTATTCAAGGCCGATACTATGATGGAAATTTTGAAATTTTTGGTGTTTGATTTAAGTAGTGAATTTTTGTGTGCAGCTTTATGATTAATTCTCTTTATTCTCTTATGGGAAGAAAATGTTTTATTGCCATTGGTTTGATTTGTTTGAGTATAAGTGCTCGATCCTTCGAATAGGGTTTTTTTTATTCTTTAGTTCTTTTGCAAGACACAAGGTATTCTTTGTAAAGGTTCTTGAATCTGGGTTTCAACCATAAATATATTGGAGGAAATGATTGTGTTTTCACTGCCATAGGATAAGATACATAGGTGATGAAATTATTTTTCTTTTTCATCTTATCCAGAAATGTGAAAATTTCTCATATTCTTTGACCAAAATCTCTGCATTCCGTTTCGTTGTCAAAACATCATCTGTAGTAGCCAGAGACAGTTTATCTAAATCTGCAGTTAATGCAATATGAAAAAATCAATCTGCTTGTAGAAAATATTTAGGTACGTGGAAATAGTTGAGAAATGTAGAGCATAGGCATGTTAAAGAACCATTGCTGAAATACGTTACCATTCAAAGAAACTTTAATCTGCCAGTACCTTGATGAAAACTTCAAACAAAGGCCGATGAATTTGTCAACATTTTGGAGACACTCGAAAAGAATGAATAAGAAATTTAATAACTGCATGTAATCATAATTCCAATTAAATCCTATTTTTTAAAAAAATTAGACTTATTATTTGCTTCTTTCACTAGATAAGGCAAAGTTAATCAGAGTTTTTCCTTATGCTAATTTAATTTATACATGTTTTTGTGAGATAAACCATCTTTTTATTGCATCAGATATGGCAAACCAAACTTCAGATCCTTAGAAGTTCTTTATTAAAATTTTCATCTTGCATTCTTATTTTGTTACTGACATGTTTAATAAATATCCTTTGTATACCATATATTCCAGTGTATAGCGTGCACCTGTAATTGGAAACTACATATTTTTAATTTTTTAGGCCTATTTACCATGTAGTGCACATTTTTTTCTTTACGAAGAAACCTAAAAGATATATGTGGAATGCTATTATTTTTCGAAGCTGTGAATTCGAAGATTTTTTGCAGGCTTTCAAACAGTGGTATACTGAATGACAAGTGATAAGGTTAACAGTAAATGTATTGAGAAAATGCTTCAGGGAGTTATTGATTGTGCTAAGAGGGTAGATTATATTTAATGCAATTGTGAGCAAGAATGTAATTTTAAGGTTTTGAGAAAAGGGGGGGAATAATTTGGGATATGAAAGTACTTCTGACCTGAATGAATTTGCGGAATTAGGGTCAGATGTTTGCTTTTTCTGTAGTCATCTGTAGCCATGATTCTGAAATGAACATTGAAAGCTTTAGTAAATTGCATTTACTTTACTTTAAATGCGGTTGATGTAGTTTTTGTTCCTTCTAGTAATGCTGTTTCTGCCAAAAACAAAAAAAAACATAGTGCTGGTTTCAAATGCAAAGTCATTCAATTTGCAAAAGGAAATGGGAATTATGCTGCAGCAAGGAAGTTTGGTTTTCAGGAAAGCTCCATATGTGAATGGAAGAAAAATTATATCACAATAATTGATATGCCAAAGAAGGTATGTTTCTTCTGGGATAAGCCATATCCACAACTAAGTGTTACCAGCTGGGTCATGGAAAATCATCGGTATTGCCAGTAATAGTATTTAGATAGATGTAGAAAAAAAAAAGAAAAAAATGTTGCTCATCTTTACCTTATTTTTAAATCTATGATTTTTATTCTGGTGTGTAATGTGCGCCTGCAAATTTTGATCTAATTTTTTGTATTAAAAGTACGTTATACTCCGAAATAATACGGTATGTAATACACTTCATATTTTTATTAATTTAATAACACTATAAATATATCTGTGTATTATTCAGCTTCTTTGGTTTGATGTAATATTTGCATCATGTTCAGTTTGGCATCTAAATTATTTACTAGAAGGTTAGTGTAAGAAAGAAATATTTAAAATTTTGATATAAAATATTTCCTTTACATGTCTTTGGATAATTCCTCTAATTTTTATATTTAAAAGCTGGAAACACATGATGCTTTATAATTAATAGTTGCCTAAATATGAAGTAACATGCAACAAATTTTTAATGTCTTCACGCTTCAAATGAGTTTTTGAATATTATTCAAGGACGTAATATACATATATAAAATACTGTATATTTTTCTACTAGCTTATGAGCACAGGGTTCTAAAAATTTTCAAATATTCTCATAATTCTCCCTTTTCTCAAGTGAAAGTGAGCTCCCCTAAATTTTAATTGGACTCATCTATGCAGTGATTGTTTTTATCTTACTAATTGCGTTCAGGGATTTGGGGTGCATGGGTTTTCGATGAAACTGTAGCAGTTAAGAGCTTCATGTAAATGAGAATATCCAACACTTTTGATGCTTTTGAACATGGAAACTCGCTGAACATTACCAAAGATGACGATGGTGGTTACTTGCAATCTGTAGCAGATGACTTGCAAAATTCCAGCAGCAGTGAAAGATTTGAGGCTCTGAGAGTGGATAAGAACGAGCGATTGAGATTCAGGTACAGGGAAGTGGGAATAAAGGCATCATACTAAATATTGTTTCTTATTGGTTTTACGGTTTTTCTCCCTCTTTACCATACGCTTTCAAGGTGTAACTGGAAAACATGTCCAGTTAGCACTCACAGAGTCTGAAGTTGGAATCTTGGTGAGGGCACTGCATTCTTTTCATGCTTCCTGCTCCACAAACCTATGATTTTACAAGCTGTATCCTAACTAAAATGCAGTGGACAATAATTTGTCATCACCATGGTTGGCAGTTGGGTCGCTGCATCTCCAGTCCCCTTTTAAGTGGGGGAAATGTAAGGTTTTTCTTCCTATACTGCATGCCGTCGCAGTGTAACTGAAAAGTACATCCAGCTAACAGTGAGCAGGTCCAGAATTCGAATCCCAGCAAGGGCACTGTAATTTTTCATGCTTCCTTCTTCAAAAACCTAATGATTCTACAAGGTTTCTTTGAAATAAATAATACAGTCAAAAGTCGTTAATCCAGATTCGTCAGGACTTTGGCAATTCCGGATTATCGATTTTTCCGGATTATAGATCATCAGTTTGAATCTGGTAAGATGGCATGCAGAAATTACAAAATTAAAAAATATGAAACCGTAATTTATGAAATAAAGAACAATTATGATCTAAAGGGTATCAAAATTTACAAAAAAAGAGCTTAATATTTGTTTATTTTATTAAACATTTCTTTCAATGTGCGCATGCGTAAAGCATACATTACGCATAGTCGAAATTAGGAAATTGCAACCAGAAAACTATTTGATGTGTACTCGTGATATTTATGATGACGAGGAATTTGATTTAAATCATATCAAAGACGGAATACATCAAGATGAAATACTACATTTAGTAAGGAATTATAAACTGAATAAAATAAAAAAACATCTGCCCTGAAGATAAGGATAGTGCTGACAGATCAACTTCCAGTTCATTGCACGCTGTGATGTCCCCTCCCCCTGCAGAGCAGCGTGAAATTGATAAAGAGATTTCGGAATGGTTAAGAAACAAAGGATATGCCTTTATCCATTTTTTGCAGCAATTCCACTTTTTGTTTAATGGACTTCGAAACGTACTTTCGCTTTGTAGATCCTTTACATATTAGTAAATATATATCGGAAATTATATTTGACATAATCGAAAGTTCAAGCTTACTTTTATAAAATTGCTCTAACAGACTGCAAAAAATAATAAACCGGATCCAATTCGAAGATTAAGGAACAACGCAATCTGCAACATTAACTGAATTAGATAATTTTAGCTTAGCTTATACCGTCTGTTATACATTAAAGGCGCATGTGCACATGCATATTTGCAGCCATAAAGGTCTTACGCGCACGCGTAAATGCAACGCATGCGCAGAAAGTTTGTAGCTTTGAGGTCCGAATTAACGACTTTTGACTGTACTGTGATAATAACTTGTGATTTATGCATAAATACTTTTTATTTGTTTGTACTGTAACTGCATCCTTTGGAAATTAAATTCAATTAATTTTCTTTATCGATGTTCATAAGATAAAGCCAGTTAAAAAGGGGGCGATATATGAATAAATGCAGCATTATAAATTGTTTCTGGTTTGAAAAATGTTAAACATTCAAATGTGAACAATCTGTTTTTTAGATCTACATCCTCTCAAAGAAAGGATTAAATATTAATCTTATTTTGTAATATGAATAATAATAATAAATTTTAACAAACATGTATATATGTAAAAAAGCAAATTTAAAGTTAAAAAAAATTTAAAGTTAAAATAATTAAAAAAATTTAGTTTTCAAACTAATCTACAATATAATTTAAATTCAGATAGCATAAGTAAATCAAGTGCAAAACCAAACCATGAAAATAAATTCACCAATTTAGCAAATTAAGATTAAAATTTTTTTTAAAGAAAATGCATAAGTGAATGATTGTTGAGCAGGCAGGAGACAGACTTATGAAGGGGAAGTTGCCTCCAAACCTAACTCTTCAATCATTCAATTCGTGTTTCGTCATTCATGCAGTCAAGGCTGCATGAATGACGAAACAAGAATGAATGGAGTTAGATTTGGAGGCAACTTCCCCTTGATAAGTCTGTCTCCTGCCTGCTCAACAATCATTCACTTATGCATTTTTAAAAAAAAATTTTAATTTGCTAAATTGGTGAATTTATTTTCATGGTTTCGTTTTGCACTTGATTTACTTATGCTATCTAAATGTAAATGATATTGTAGATTAGTTTGAAAATTAATTTTTTTAATTATTTTAACTTTTTTAATTTTTTTAACTTTAAATTTGCTTTTTTACGTATATACATGTTTGTTAAAATTGAAATTTTATTCCTTGCAGCAATGGCGCAAAGAATTAATTAAATTTAAATTTGTATTTAAATTCATTTTATTCTTTTGAAATAATAATAATAATAATAATATATAATTAATTTATAATTAATCATATTTTTATTTAAAAGAATTTTTTAACTAGTCTTTGCTTCTACATGCATTCGATATTTTCCATTTTCAACTGACCCTTAAACTACAATTTATGAAGAAAATGTTTTTGATTTATTCTGATGATTCTTACTACTATTGTAATTTATTCATTTCGTTGACATTCTTACTACTTTAATGTATTTTGATTGCGTGTTCTTTGATTTTTTAAAATTTATTTTGATTATATGTATTGTATTGATTATAGTTCCCAGGAGTAGCAGCTTACTGTGTAAGCAAAGCTGCTGTTGATCAGTTAACAAGGTGTACAGCTTTAGGTAATTATATGCATGTTTAAATATGAGATTGAACATTGATTTTTTTTTAAATTCTGATTTTTTGCAGAGTTAGACGGACTAAATCTGATAAAAGAATGCATAAATAGTTTCTTGTGAATATTGTTTTTATAATCATTTTATATATATATCATTTATTATTAATGATATATGATTATAAGTATATACAGTACAAAGTTCGAAATCTGGACGTCCATTATCCGGAATGATCTAAAATCCAGACCTCAAAACCACCAAAACCGTTTTTCTTTTCTCCCCTCTGCGCATAATAAAACATCTGGAGAGTCCCAATTCTTAATTTCACTTCGACACTAAATAAAATACCTTGTTATTGAAGTAGCAATCATTTATCATAAATTTGTACGATCAGTAATTTGACTCCATTGCTGTGCATCTGCTTTGGCACACATCTCAAACTGAAACATTCCACATAGATACATCGGTGATCTGATGCCAACCTGGCAAATCATTATTTATCATACTTTCCTTTCATCACCACATGTTTATTAAAACATGACAACATGTTTATCAAAACATGACAACTCATGTAGCAATGACTAAACAATTTTTTTATGTTAGTAATTGAATAATAAAGGAGTATGGTAACCTTTTATGTTGACATTATGCTTGGCGATGATTACAGATTTAAGGAATTAGCAGAGTTTAGGACCCACAGAGACTGCATCTGGCAGTAAGATATCTAGCACATGCCTTCAATAAGGCTTAAGTATATGTGGGAATTTATTTATTCAGAACCCTGATAAGCCTTAAGCATGTGCAAGAAATAGACATAAGTATAATAAATAACTAAACTAATACAATTCAGGCTTAATTGTCTCAGTGCACGATGAAAGAAAGATAAAATTTAATGGAATAACTTGTCATTAGTCACCAAGCTCATAAGGCATAGTCAAATATGTATAGTGAAGGATAGTTAAATTTGATGATGATAGCCGCTAATTTTAAAGGTTTTCGGATATTGCAAAACAAAGGTGAAATTTTCCAATTAACAGATTTTGTAAAGAAATGTGGAGAAGTGGTAATAAATGAAGACGATATAAAATAAGTTTTTCATTTGGATACAATGCTCCTCAATTATTAATCAGTTAATGAATGATGAAATCTGTAGTATGGTTTTAGATCCAGAAAATACCGCTACCGATAGTGAAGAAAATGACACAAATCTCTGAAAATGAGAAAATTTCGATCGACAAGTTAGTCGGAATTCTTGAAACAGCAGTTACAGGACTTCAACAATGTAACAGAACAAGAAATTATGTCTGTCTACAGAATTAAAGAGAAAGTATGAGCACACACACAAAACAAAAAAACAAACAAAAAAAAAAAAAAAAAAAAAAAAAACTAGATTTAAACTGATGATCTAATATCTGGAATCACCGAAGTCCTGATGAGTCCGGATTTCGGACTTTGTACTGTATATCATAATTTTTTATGGCATTGTGAACCAAATGAGTTTAGTTGATATGTTTATTCATTTAGCATTCATCAGTCTATTTTTATAAGTAGTTTGGACTAACAAAAGTCTTCTTTTAAAGTACTTTCTTAATAATTCATTCTTTCTAACTTAAAAATATGTAAGATAATGTTCTAACTTTAATTTATACTAGCACCTAAACCTTTCTAGTTTGGTTGTTTCCTCTTTCTATTGTAAAACGATAAAATGCTAATAATAAATCTTCCTGAAATACATCATTTTAAAATTAATCTGTGTCATATGGTTCTTACATAATGCTAATGACACACATTTACATAAAAGTAAAATCTCTTATCTAATCCAGTCAAACCAAAACTTTTATTAAGCAGATAGCAGTAAGACAATGCTATGCATCTCTGCTCAGAAAATGCAGGCTGTTGCAAAAATTACTTTTCCTCATAACTCATAAAACTGAATATAAAAATTATTTTGTTTCGGACAGAAACTAACCAACCAGCTGTATGTTGTCCTACATTGTTGATCAAAAAATCACATTTTCGATTTTTCTGTAGCCAAAATTATTTGAAAAAGTATCTTCTTTTAGTGAATTGGATTTTCTAGATGTGTTTCACATTCATAAAAGTCTTTTATTTTTAGTTAACAATCCAAATTCAAATCCACCTTTACCCTAGGCTTTTAAAGAAGTTATTTCATAAATGTGTTCATTTCTAATCAGTAGATGGCACCAGTAGTTTTCTTTCTTTCATTTTTATCACCTGAAGGCTTGACCCTGGCATCCCTTTCGTCATTTGCATTTCGCCGTTGAAGAAGAAAGTTCTATATTTGAACCTTCGAATCTAGTTCTGTACATGTATGAAAATTACACTGATTTTTGTTACTTTAACTCATTCCAATAATCACTATTCAGCATATTTTGACTCGAATATGAAAAGTACATTAAGTGTACAATAATAGGCATACCTCTTATGCTAGTTTAGCTAATATATGTTTACTTTGAAACATAGACAACCTGGAATAAGGATATCTTTTTTTCTGATAGCTACTTTTAAATGGTTTCTATTAACTTAATTACCTAGAATTTCAGATTAAGTTTTCATGAAGAGACAACATGCCACTGTTGAAACAGCAGACATACACTTGTCTGCATTTCTTGGAGACTCATCCTCTTCTCATCATAAAGCAAAAAATCCGTCCCCTACCCCTTAGGGGTTCCAAGCCCTTCAAAATTGTTCTCAAATGTCTGGTTCCTTTCTACAAGGTCAGCCCCTCCTTTGCTATAACTTACATTTTAGGAGGGAGAAGAGGAAAACAAGTACCTCTTGGAGAAATGTAAAGAAATGCCCTTCCGAAGATGAAACTTTTATCTGTTCTTTAGAACATTTGGGTGTTGCTAGAAGTTTAAAAATGTAATGCCTTTTTTGTTTTTTTGCATTTTACTCCTCTTGCATGGTAATTCATTCAATATTTTTTGGGAACAATTACATTTCAGGTGAGGATTGGCTTGCTTTGTTAGATGTCTTTCTAAAAGAAGAGAGTATTCCTCAAAGCTATATTCTAAGCATTACCTTATTCAGTTTAAAAATGAATTCTGTTCTGAAGGAACTTTCTTCAACTTCTAAGGATCATTGTATGTTGATGATCTCAGGATAAGTTGCTAAGGTCCAGATATCAGATATGTGGATAGAAAATTATAGATTGCTATTAACAGGATTCAGAAAGGGTTAAATAAACAAAGATTTATATGTTCAAAACAGAAGACTTCTTTTTTGTAGATAGTGTGATCTCTGTGTTGAGCCTGAGCTGTGTCTTCATGGAAAAATGATTCTAGTTCCAAGTTCTTAGGAGTGTGTTCGACCATAAACTAATGTTCCTTCCACATGTCCTGTACATGAGGAGGAAGTCATTCAAAATTTTAAATCTTGAAGTCTGAGTGAACATCTCTTGAGGTTTGCAAATTAATTGCAATTACTTCCACATCATAATTAAGAGAAATAAATTAAATAAGAGTAAGCATTAGCTAAAGATTGAAGAAAGAGAATCGTTATGGCTTTAACACAGGAGCTGAATAAGAGGTCCCCACGAGACAAGAATAAAAGCTTGTCTGTGGTTACCTCTAATGGAGAGCAGAAGAGAATCTCCTGCAGAGGTGAGACATGCAGAGAATCGAGGTGATAAGTGGAGTCAATTACCTGCACGCACCAGTGTGAATAGTAATGGGGGAGTTGAAAAGGAATTCAAGCATGAACAAAGCCAGGCTTCGGGAAAGGTAAGGTTTGCGTAAACCAAGCAAGGGTTGCGAGGAGCCTTGATCAATGGTTGTGGATCCATCTTAGAAGAGTGCATATATCCAGCTGCGTCCCACCACCTTAACAACAACAACAGAAAAGAAATTACTAATAAGATCCTATACAGACATTTTTTCCTTGAGCATTTATAAAAGTACAGCATGTATGTTCCTGTATATACCAAGGGTTTGAAAGGAACTAATCATGTCAGAACATCTTTTATGATTGGTTAATCATATGAAAAGCATCTATTTGCTCAGTTTTAGCCTATGAGCTAATTTTTTACATAATAATTTACATTTTGTATGAGAAAAAGTAAGCAACAGTATATGTAGGTTGAAGTGCAGAAAGCAAGTATTTTGAATTCAGGATGAAATCTTAATTCAGAATGAGTTAGTTTTGTTTTTCAGTGCACTTCATTAGATAATTAATAATAAGATTATTATTGGCTGTTTGAGTTTTTGTTCCATTTACATCACCATTTTGTTCCATTACATACATTAGAGTCATATGACATGGTAGTCTCGAAATGACACAAAGCAGAAAAAGAAATTACTAATAAGATTATTATTTTTAGAATAGAGAGAGTAAATATCCAAATTAAAATTGAGCATTAAGGGGCTATTGCTAATTTAAATTATATTTGCATATTTTAAAAATAAAATTGTACTTTAAAATATTACCTTCTTAATTATTGCTGCATTTGCACATACTTATTTTTGCATATTTATTTTTTAATGTAGAATGATTAAATTAGTTTTTCTTTTATATTGAACTTAGTTTTATTGCTTTTCAGAATTAGCAAGTGATGGTGTAAGAGTGAATTCTGTGAAGTAAGTTTATTTTTCATGAAATGGATGTAAATATTAAGTCCTGAATATAGATCATGATTAAAGCTTACATATAATTCTTCACAGCCCTGGTGTAATAATAACTGAACTTCACAAAAGAGGTGGTATGGCAGAAGAGGTATATGTAAAGGTAGGGAATTTTGTTATAAATTTAAATGTGTAGAGAACTTTGAATAATATTGGTACTAAAAAATTTGAAAATATATATATTCAGGGGCGTAGCTAGAGGGAGGCATCTGTTCCCGGGCACAGAATCCAAGGAGTGCCAAACTGATGTTACAACAGTTTAGAATTAAATGTTTTCCATCCTTGGCAAGCAGTAGGGGGCGCGAAATCTTCAGTTGTCCCTGGGCGCTGAAAACCCTAGCTACGACTCTGTATATATTGTTAATTTCCGAGCCAAAATTTCTACTTCTAATGTCATAACTGAGCAAACTGTTAGCCCTGAATCTTTTTTAACAGATAAATTATATTATATGTGCCTCTCCCTTCAGCCAATCAAGTTCCTCTTCACTGACCCTGGGGAGAGAGCGTGAAGAGCAAGTGTAAGAATCAAGAGAGTTTGGGTTTTAATTTGAATAGTTTTTGAATGGTGTTAATAGAATGTCCAAAACTTATGTACTTCTTTAAAATTATGATTGTAAATAATTCTGCTTGTGGAAACTCTGTATGTGGAATAAAGATTTAAAAGGGAATTAGGTACAGGTTAAAAAAGGCGTAATTAACCTCAGTCTCCCACCATGACATTACAACTAGATTTATCTTTCAAATCCTCAAAGCAGAATTTTAATTTTTATTGTAATTTTACTTAAAACCTGATTTTAATTTCAGTGTAAATTATATGTGAAAAATGCGAAAGCTGCATCTAAACTGTGATTTTTATTGACTTTGAAGACTGGAAACTTATCTTTACCACTCTTTGTGTCATACTTTGTTGTAATGATTAATTCCTGTGTTTTTATTTAACATCTTAATGCACTCAACTGAATTTGCATATATTGAAAAAATCAAAATTTTTGTGCTCACCTGAAATGTGACTCATTTGAACTTTGGTTTTGCATTGGAATGTCAGTTGAAAATTAGGCATAAAAGCAAGTATAGAATAGTGGAAGATTTTGAATAAAACTTTTAGTGGTTTTGATGATTTGACATAGGTTCCTTTTCTTCTTCAAGAGAAAAAAAAATTATAAGCTGTAAAATAATATGAATTTTCTCATTATTAGATGAAAAATCTATTACAGTACAAAGTCTTTAATCCGGATGTCCATAATTCGGAATGATCTATAATCCGGACCTCAAAGCTACAAACTTTCTGCGCATGCACGTTTAATGTATAACGGGCCGTATAAGCTAAACTAAAATTATCTATTTCAGTTAATGTTATAGATTGCGTTGTTTCTTAATCTTCTAATTGGATCCGGCTTATTATTTTTTGCAGACTGTTAGAGCAATTTTATAAAAAGTAAGCTTGAACTTTCGATTTGTCAAAAAGAGTTTCCGATTCTGGAGCTGCCAAAGGATCTACAAAGCGAAAGCATGTTTCGATTTCCATCAAATTAAAAGTGGAATTGCTGCAAAAAGTGGATAAAGGCATAAAGAAAGTGACAGAGAAGTTAGTGAAGACGAAAAAATTTCGATTGACAAGTTAGTCGGTATTCTCGGCACAGCAATTACAGGACTTGAACAGCGGAACTTTGTAACTGAACAAGAAATTATGTCTGTTTATAGAATTAAAGAGAAGGTATTAGCACATAAAATGAGCCAACTTAAACAACTTACATTGAAAGAAATGTTTAATAAAGTAAACAAATAAATATTAAGCTTTTTTTTTTTTTTTTTTTTGAAAATTTTGATACCCTTTAGATCATAATTGTTCTTTATTTCATAAATTTCGGTTTCATATTTGTAATTTTATAATTTCTGCATGCCATCTTACCAGATTTAAACTGATGATCTATAATCCGGAAAAAACCCTAATCCTTAATCGCAGAAGTCCCGACGAGTTCGGATTAAAGACTTTGTACTGTATTATATACACAACTTTTTATTTATTGCTTGAGTAGCAAATCATAATTTCTACTTTTTTTAGATAATGATGGATTTGATCATGGAAAAAAAAATTGTCACTCCAAAATAAATACAATTTGGCTTATTTTTGAAAATTTTATTAGAAAATTTAGAGATTTTATTATGAGAAAGAAATTATTGATTATTAATGAAAGTTCAGTATTCTTTTGTGCACAATAAATAAATTAATAAACATGGTAAACCAATAATTAAAAAAAATTGGCAAAAATATGACCATTTTTTTATTTTTAATTTGTGAACTGAGGGGCTAAATTATAAAACATTTTTCAAGATGCACTTATATATACTTTCATAAAGGCATCACAAAAATTATTCTAGACTATACGTACACAGCTTTGCTTGTCAGAGGGTTAAAAGTGGTGCATAGAAATCAACACCGAGGAAAATTCATGTTTACTCTTTCCTTGGACATATCACTGAGAACCTGATCTACTGTAAGATATTCTGTCTTGAAACAGACAGGGTAAACTTATATACAGTAAAATTTCAACTATCCGGCATTAAACTAAGAAAACTCAATTTTGCCTCTGAGAAATATAGTAAATGAGAGATTTATAATGCTTTGTAATATTATTAACACATAGATATTGTTGCTAAGCAGTGTGATTTTGCACCAATAATGGATAAGCTTGATGTTGTATCAAAATCATAAGAAGTTCGTTTTTAACATAACATGATCATAAGAAGTTCATCTGGTTTAATTTTTGTAACAGATGGTTACATATATACATAATAATTTTGAAATAAAATATTGTAAGTGAATAAAAACCATGTGAAACAGGTGGCATATTCTTGAAATGATGTTAAATTATCATGGATATTTAATATTAGGTTAGATACACTTTAATAATATTAATTAATTTATTTAATATTGTGTGTGAAAACAATAATAATATTACTGTCTGTCAACTGTAATAACAGTTAGTGCCTGCTTATTAACATATAGGCTTTAACAAGCTTTGAATGTCTTTAGTGCATATAAGAGTGGGAATTCACTGTATGAAATAATTGAATTTCCTTTGAAATAATTATGAATTTGAATCTTTAGACAGCAGTCAATTGTATAAAAAAATTCACAAACTATTAATTAGAATGCATATATCGTAATGGGCATTCTAGGATATTAACCCTGGAAAGGAAGAAAAAATAGTTATAGACAATTAGTACATAAACAAAACAAACTGAAAATCCTTATGATTTTGTTTGAATAGCAATCAAAAGAGTTATTAATGAAGCACATTTTTGATTTTATATTTATGTGGATGTTGTTCCAAATAAACATTTATGAAATGCATATTTTTTTAATAATAAAACAACTTGAATTTTAATTAGTGGTTTGGATAACAATTACTGCTGTGATGTGACATGCTCGTCTAAAGGTTCACTGACAAAAGATTAAAAGTTACTCTTATATATTTGCATTAATTTTGAAGCTTTATGCATAACTTTTATAGATTTTATTATTACATATTTTCTTTATTGCTTTCTAATTATATATATAAATATAAAATAAATAAAATAATATAAAAATATGAAATTACAGGGGAGCAAAAGATAAGTATTACAGGAGAGGAAAAAATTTTAATAGCACTAACTTTTCAAAAAAGTTATTTTCTTTCATGTTTAATGCAAGTGCTTTATTTAAGGTAAATAAAAATTTTATGTGGTTAGGGAAAAGACATTAAATATTTTAGAAATATCTGGGAAATAGTGGAAAAGCTTCCTATTTGATGTAATGGACATTACTTGATAATTTAATATCAAATTTTATTGTAAATATAGGTGAGAAATTTAAATAAAAAAAATTATGTATAAGAGAAGAGAATTATATACTTTTCATGTATCTCTGAAGTTTAATTGCTGCCATTTTTATCAAAACAATAATTCCCTATATTTTACTTTCTTCTTTCATTAAAGACTGATGCAGATAATTTTGCTTTTTAATCTCGGGATTTATTACCTTTATAAACAAAGGGAGAAGAAAGAAGCTGATTTAAAGAATGTGTTCCAAAATCTGTTTAAGTTATTCTTAAAAAAATATCAAGTAATAGATAGATGTTTGGAGTAGATTACTTTTTTGTATTCTGTGTTAGTATCTATTTTTATTATTATGAATGTTATTTTTGTTTTTCCAGTTATTGAAAACTAAAAATTGCAAATTGCTATAGTTGTATGTGAAGAAATACATGACTTTTATGTTAACAAATCATATTTAAAATGTAGCAGATAGTTACTGATGTAAAATGCATGTCAATAGCAAAAACATCAGTCATCTTAATAGATAAGTAAACTTTTTATTATTTATAGTGATATATGAGGGTAATTTGGAAAATAACATCCATTTAGCTGTAGATAAAAAATGCGTAAAGATGCTAAACTTTTTTTTTATTTATACCTGAAAAGTATAGTTGTACTCTATTTTTCAACATAGTCACGTTGTAAATTCAAGCACTTGTCATAGCCATGTAAATTCAGGCACATTTGACCAACTTTCCTATCCCTTCTGCTTAAAACTCTGCCTATTGTGATATTAACCAACCTTATCACAACATTGTGAAGATCTTCATTGTCAATGATCTCCTGCTCCCAAGCCAATTCTTCAGATGAATGTACAAATAAAAATCGGAAGGAACCAAGTCTAGATTGTACAGAGGATGACCAAAAACATCCCATTTGAATTAGCACAGAACATCTTGTGTTTGCTGAGCAGTTTGAGTGCAGGTGTTGTCATGCAAGAACATGTCAACAGGCTTTAATGTTTGTTCTCAGTGATTATTTTCAGTAAACTTCAAATGCTATTATTTTGCTAAGTTCCATGGACTCGACAACCAGAATTTCCGTAGCATCCTAAAATACAGTAACTGTAATGTTCCTTGTTGCCAAAATCTAATAGGCTTTCCACAGCTTGTTTGAGAACTATGACCCCTATGAAATTGATTGCTGTTTTGTCTCAGCATTCATATACACCAGCTAAGTTTCGTTGCCTGTGGTTAGCACTCAAAAACTTCTTCCCTTCTTTGGTATATTGTGAATGAAAGTATAAGTTAAGCTCATTTGATTGGTTTTGCAGATCTATGTGAAAATTTTTGGGACCATCTGAGCACAGAACTTCCAGTAGCCTAGTTTAGAGTGTCTTCTTAGGACAAAAACAGTCTGGGAAATTCTTGAAAATTTTTCAGAACTGCTGAGATTTGGAATCAGTAGTTCTCATGAACTTTGTCACTATCCTTGACTAACATCACGCACTACAGAAGGCCTACCACTCCTAGGTTCATCATGAATGCTTGTTCTTCCTGGTTTTAAAAATTTGATCCACTGGTGCACAATACTTTCAGTCATAACGTTTGGGCCATATAGAGAGCATAGTTCAGGATAAATAAGTATTCACTAATAGATTTTTTGTGTCCAAAGATATCTTATCACTCTGCACACCTTGCATTTGCTGTGACTTTTCCTGGCAACACACATTATGTGATGTTATAAGTGGCAGACTTAAGGCTAGCTCTCACAAGCACAGCTGGAAGCCTATCACCAATTGCAATTGAATAAAGAATTGCATGATGAAACGAAGGTGGCAGTTTCATCACTACTGCTAGTACCATGGCACAACTTTCCAAATTCCCCTCATAAATGGCAATAATTGTATATGTATAAATATCTGAAATGTTTGTATAATATATTTTACCTAATTTTAGTTTTTAGAACGCTGCAAAGGCACTCATGCTTTAGGGAGACCAGGCACTGTAGATGAAGTAGCTGAAGCAATAATCTTTTTAGCTGATGAAAATAAATCTTCTTTCATAACTGGAGTTAATTTGCCTGTAGATGGTGGCCGTGGTGTCATGTGTCCAAGATAGGTACTTTTCCTGACATAATAATAAAAAGGTGAACTTTTTTATTTTTGAATACAGTCAAAAGTCGTTAATCCGGACTCCTCGGGACTCCGATTCCAGATTATCGATTTTTCCGGATTATAGATCATCAGTTTAAATCTGGTAAGATGGCAGTCAGAAATTATAAAATTAAAAATATGAAACCGAAATTTATGAAATAAAGAACAATTATGATCTTAAAGGGTATCAAAATTTACAAAAAAAAAAGCAGCTTAATATTTATTTGTTAAACATTTCTTTCAAAGCGCGCATGCGTAAAGCATACATTACGCATAGTCGAAATTAGAAAATTGCAACCAGAAAACTATTTGATGTGTGTTCGTGATATTTATAATGAATTTGATTTAAATCATATAAAAGACAGAGTATATCGAGATGAAATACTACATTTGGTAATGAACTATAAGCCGAAAACATCTAGCCGAAACCTATAATAGAATAAAAACATCTGCCGTGAAGATAAGGATAGTGCTGACAGATCAACTTCCAGTTCATTGCACGCTGCGATGTCCCCCCCCCCCCCCCCCGCAGAGCAGCGTGAAATTTATAAAGAGATTTCGGAATGGTTAAGAAACAAAGGATATGCCTTTCTCCATTTTTTGCAGCAATTCCACTTTTTGTTTAATGGACTTCGAAACATACTTTCGCTTTGTAGATCCTTTACATATTAGTAAATATATATCGGAAATTCTATTTGACATAATCGAAAGTTCAAGCTTACTTTTATAAAATTGCTCTAACAGTCTGCAAACAATAATAAGCCGGATCCAATTTGAAGATTAAGGAACAACGCAATCTGCAACATTAACTGAATTAGATAATTTTAGCTTAGCTTATACCGTCCGTTATACATTAAACGCGCATGTGTAAACGTATTATGCGCATGCGCACATGCATATTTGCAGCCGTAAAGGTCTTACACGCACGCGTAAATGCGATGCATGCGCAGAAGGTTTGTAGCTTTGAGGTCCGGATTATGGGTGTCCGAATTAACGACTTTTGACTGTATATGTAATTTAGTACTGAACATGATAGTATGTGTAATTTCAAGACCTATTTTTTTTAAATATAAATTTGCTTATAAATGTGCCCATTGTGGTTAATTGCCAAAATTGGCAAACTCTATCATCCGATATCTAACATACAAATTTTGAATTTTGCCAAAAACTTATGCAGTGATCCTTTAATGAGGAATTCCCGAATTTTTTTTAATTAATAATTTTGATAAACAAATACTTTCACAATATTGTTCACATTAATTTGTGAACACATTTTGAAACTTCTAAAAGTTATCCACTGAGTATAACATCTTGAAACATCTAAAAATATCACCTAAGCAAAATGCTGTGTAAAATTCATCATGATTAAATCCCTAAAAAATGAAATATTTTTGTTACATTAATAATTTTAAAAAATTGCAAACCAGGTCCCAAACTTTTGACCGATAATCAATCATTTCAGCATGGAAAGTACTTGTTTAAATATTTTCTTAATTATATAGTTGACACTTGCATTGCTTGATCATTACAGCAAAAATTCTCTACTGGTGAGAGCTTATTGAATCCATTTTCCATTTAATAAACATTAGTAATAATATCCTTTTTATATTGTAATTTGGCAACATTTATAATGAACATCAATTATACTTTTAAATTAACAAAAAGTTAAAGAACAACTAACCAGTTTTTTAGTATAAACCAATCTAGTTATAGGAGCATTTTTAACTTAGTTAAAGGTTATTTATGCAATTAATATAACTAATTTTGTATATTTTAATTTAATGAATTTTTTTAATGGTGTAAATTTTGCCATTTAAACTAGTTAACTGATTTTTTAACAGTTCTTTTAGTTTTCAAACTAAGAAATAAACCTTTTTGTGTATAAGTCAGCCTTTGCTGTAATTAATTTCAGTTGCAAAGGCTGAACACATTTCAAAAGATGAACTGTTGCATTCTCTTTTAACAATGTTAACATAAGTGTCACTTATGAAATTCTTCAATATTTTGCAGTTTTACTATTTTTCAAGACACTGAATCACATAAATGAAGAAAAGTTGAGTTTTGATAATTTTGAAATTTGGCTGCATTTTAAAATTTTTTGAATCCTATACTTGGCCTTTAATATAGTAATACCATTTGACCTTTAAAGCTATTGTTGTTATGTCTCTTTTTATTGTTTTAGTTTAGGTATTGGTTTTCCATTTTCTAAATCTATTTATTTATGAATAATGAAAGCTAAAATTCTAAATTCATATGAAGAAACATTATTACTTCATTTAGGCAAAATATACTAGGGCAATATGCCTAAGCTACACTAAAGTTTTGAGCAGTGATCTCCACAAGGATGGATTTTAAGTATCTTGTATTCTTTATTCTGTTTCTAGGAAAGAAACTTAAAAATGTTTAAAATTCATGAGTAAATTCTGCTTATTAAAGAAGTCCCCCCTCAGAGGAGCATTAGATTCAAAGGACTATTAGTTTCAAAACAGCATTTTGCATCTTTCACTTTCTGCGTTGATTCACTTTCAGCCTGTTGCCACCAAATATTATCACCATGTTTTATATAAAGAAACTAAATAATGAAGAATCTGCATGAATGTTTCTTGCATTGTGAAAAAACAACAACCTAGAACCATCAAATTTTGAATAGCATAGTCCTTCAACCGAACATGTGCACTTGGAAGCCTGAATTTGTCTTGTTATCTATTTCAAATTTTGGTAAAATTGTAACAAATTTTTGATTAACAAACTCAACAATTTCAAAACGAGCAATGGAACAAACATGATATGGAAAAAAACATTTTTATGTCCAATGCACGAGACCAGGGACAGGTTAACTATTTTAGGGCCCTAGACAATTTTTCCTGCCATGCCTCTACACCCGAGAAGTTATGTAATTTTTACGAGAACTCTGTCAACGCATATGAAAACATAGTGCAATTTTGCAAGTCACTGTGGACAGAAACTTTTTCTGGAGGAACCAAGCAAAATCAATCTTAGCTCCAACAAAGCTGCAAAGTTTTGAATCCATTTAAGAAATTGTGTGCTTTGGGTGCAACTTTATAAAATAATACCAATGTTTTTAAAACGTTTGTATCTAAACCGACTATCTTTATCAATGATTACAGGGTATGGATTTCAAAGCATGAAATCCAACGAAAAATTTTTTTCAAGCTGCTATTTCTGCCGGGGTGAGCTAAGCTGTGAATGCTTTTAAATACATGCTTGGAGCTGTCTAGCTGCTGACTTTCTGTCTGTTTTTGTTGTTGTAGTTGTTGTTGTGGGTATAAAGCAAACGTTGAAGGTTTGCAATCAGTATAAATTGTAAATTCTTTTTTGTCTAAGATATACTTAACTTGTTTCATCGAGAGTTATATCTTTAACAGTTACCTATCGTATCTTTTTTGAGTGTTAATTAACTATTTGGAAAAGAAGGTGAAGGATTTCCAACTGTTGCTGTATGGATGCAACTGCGTACTCCAAAGCATAACTGAAGGAAATGGTGAGTTAGGATTAGGAAAACTCAACAATGTAGCATTTGACAGATCTTTTTTGCATTGCTGAAATTTTCATTTTCTTCTTCGGCCCATGGTATTTTACTTTTATCTTTTTTCTTGGCATTTTTTAATACTCATGGAGTATTGCCTGATTTTTGGCAGCATCCTTGATATCCTTTCCGGTTATCAATAATTCAAGGTGACATTTACATTTTCAGGGGTTTTCAAGCCTTCTGGAATAATCATGTATCCTAGATATTCTAGTTGATTTACTCCCATAACTGACTTTGCAAGATTTATACAAAGACCATATTTATCTTATCAAGAGAAAACTACGTTTAAATACTCTGGGTGTTTGTCTTCCATAACAAAAGCACTAAAATGTTGTTTAAATGTGTGAAAAGAAAGTCCAATACGAAAATCACTTCATTAATGAATTGTTGAAATGTAGATGGGGCATTCCATGTCCCATCTACATTTCAACTTTAAACTTGTTATATGAAATTCATATAATCTAAATGGAGTTGTTATTGTTGTTTTCTTTTTATCATGTTCCGCCTATGGAATTTAAAAGTAAGCTTTAAATAGGTCAATTTTTGAAAATATTTTCTTTTGTTTTAATGTATGGTGAAAATCTGTTCTTGGAATAGGGTAACAATTGGGAATCGTTTGTGTGTTTAAACGCCTGTAGTCCCATGCACTGTCATAAACATCCATCCTTCTTGGAAACTAAATGAAGTGGATGGGCCCATGGAGATTTTGAAGGTCTAATTATGTTATTTTCTAAATTAAATCTGAAATTCTTTTTGGCCAATTTTAGCTTATTTGTGTATAATTGGTGAACTTTTGAAAAAAAAAAAAAAAAAAAAAAAAAAAAAAAAAGAAGGGCTTTAATTAGCTATATAGTGCTAAAGTAACAGATTTAGTTTTGTTAAATCCGGATATAATAACGAATTTGCCAATTTAGAATTTTTTATCTGTCACATTTATGCTATCTGCACTTGTTACTCCTGTAGCATGATTTTGAATAGGTAAATTTGGTTTAAAATCTGCACCTAAAATAGCTCAATCCACTTTAGTGATTACAAAAGGAAAATGGGATCACCAATGCAGGCCTAAATCCAAAGTCGAAATTTTGAAACTGAAAGTGGATGTTGTTATTCTATTTGCAGCATAAATTTAAAAGAATTGCATATTTTATGGTTTGATGTTGCCGTAATGATGGATAAGTCAGCCCCGCTATCCACAGGATAGTGCAAAGTGGTTGTTTTACTGGTAATGAATTATGAGTATTTATGGCAATATTTTAATTCATTTGCAGCAGAGTGTACCATTGAATCTAAAGCTAATCAGAGTTTTCTGACACATTCCAGCTACATGGGCTTTTACATTTACTAGGTTAAAATTTATCATCAAATTTAAAGTCTTAGTAGCAGTATGATCCATTGAGATTATATTTCTTTCTTGAATGACTATGATTCTTGTTTCAGTTAAAGCCAGAGTGTTTATATTTACTTCTAGACTATCTGGAAAAATTTAGTTCCGAAATCTGTTTTTCTAAATTGAGATTTTATCAAGCACAATATTCATTACAGAATTGCTTGCACCAGCAGAATAAATTTGTCATTGATTTAAAATATTTTATTTGCTATTATCGAAGTTTTCTTATAGGTATCGAATAGTAAGTTGTAATAAAGATATTGAAATTTTCATTATTTACTATCAGAATACTTTTAATGGATTCTGGCAATTTGCCAAGCTACAAGGTTTGCAAAATTTTATCCATTACATTTATTCCATCAAGTGATTTCATTTTACACAATAATTGGCTTGGTTTCATATTGCCAAGAGAAATTCCTGTAAGCAATTTTGTGATATTCCCCCCTCTCACTTTCATTAAAAGTCTTTAAAAATCATCTACATATTTATCATTTCGTTCACTCTCAATTGCATTCCAAATATTTTCCATGACTTTTGGCTCCAATTGTGCTGTAAGATAGCTAAATTTGGTCTGATTCTCAATAATATGAGCAATTGAGAACAGTGCTTTAACTTGGAAGAATCAAATGTCTAGTTTTGCTTCCCGGAAATGTGGAATTTTAGTTCTTACCTTGTTTGCTGTAAATTCTTCACCAGTGGTATTCGGAACAGAAAACCTCACAATATTGCATCCAAATGTAGAGACTGTAGCGGCTCTCTCTATGTATAATATGTCCATGATTTCGACGGTTAGAGAAAAATTATTCATGCAGGTCAAAGATTGTTGCAGATTTTTGTAGATACAGGGGATAATTTAATAAATTAAATGATAATTCTAGAATGGAATAGGCATATTTTAATCCATGATAATAAAGACAATATTTAGAATCACAAACATTTAAGAAAAACTTTTTACTTTTATTTATTCTTGTTGTCAATTTAGAGAAATTAAACTTCATAACAACAAAGATATTATACATAGAGAGAGCCGCTACAGTCTCTACATTTGGATGCAATATTGTGAGGTTTTCAGCACCACATTCTGGAGCATTATCAAGAATTAAGAGAACTTTGAAACATGTCATTCAAGAAGTAATGCGACTAAGGTTCTACACGGTACTGCATATAACTGGAATTCTTAAGTTGGACAAATTTAATGGAGACAGTTAAGATAATGCGTATATGACAGTTAAGATAAGATATATTACAGTTAAGATAAATTGTGTTCTATAAGTCCGTGTTTGACAAAGTTTACTGCATAATAAACTGTTTTCATGTATAAGGAAAAAACATAAGTATTCATGTTAATTGACTGTAGTATTGTTAACTTGAGGTTTAGTCTGAATTTCAGTTTAAAAGGAAATTATTTTTTTAGTTTCTATCAACAACTTTATTTTTTATTCAAGTGTTAAATAAATTTTATCTCTTCTAGATTTTGAAAATTGGAATTTAAGACTTTTGGGAAGATTGTGCAAAATTCCAAATTAAATGGAGTTCAATTTAATAATATTATTGTGATTGGAAGAAGTAAGAAGACCTCTTTTAAGAAGCAGTTACTCCAGATTTTGAAAATATTGATTTAAAAAATACAAGGCCTTATTTTGTTATCAATAAATTCTAGTTTTTTCCCCATAGTGAGAATTTTTAATTTTAGAACATGAATTTATTATATGTAACATACATAATGAGAATATGGGACTTTAATAAAATTATAATCAATGATAAAACTTTTAGTGTAATTACATAATATGTTATTAGTATTCATTATAAGACAAGGATTTAAAAAAAAATATTTTTTTAAATTTAATTTCCATTAAGAATTAGAGTAAGCTATTTGATTAAAAAGTAATTGTTTTTAATTATGAATAGAAATTGTGGAGTGAACATGCTACAGCCATATAACTGCTACCTGCTGAATTAAGATATCTGTTTTTAACCCTTTCCGGCACACTACCTTTTAAAGTTGGAGTTTTGATTAAAAAGAAAAAGGTAGGCAGTCTAATTAGGCCTAGAGGAGTACACAAGTAAAATTTTGTGAAGATAGCACTTATCTTTTAATTCTGTGGGTGTGCCCACAATGCTCATTTCAGCACTCTTTTCGAAGCTCTATTTAATCAGTGGGCACACTGCTTGAATAGAGCTTCGAAAAGAGGGCTGAAGTGAGCATTGTTGTCAATGAACTGACCGATTAGATGCAGAGAAACAAAGAATACAGACTCTCAGTTGTCCTAGATTATCGGTCTGGGCACACCTAGGGTTCGCCGTTTGATTTTAGGCAAGATTTCATGGTAAAAATTTAAAACTAAAATAGAATAAGGAGATTAGCATACAGCCAAAAAAATAACATAGAAATTTCTTTTCAAACAATTCCTTTTATACCCTAAAAAAAATCTAAAAGATCTCTTTGAAAAATGAGGATATTAAAAAACTAAACATGGCTAAAATTAAAAAAAAAAAAAAAAAAAAAAAAAAAGGTAGGCAGTCTAATTAGGCCTAGAGGAGTAGCTGCCATCTACTATAAATAAAGAATGTTCAGAGTAACCTATAAATCCTTTTTCAGTCAATCTTTCTGTGCATGCAGAAGGAAATTTTTAGGTGTGTCCGGACCGGACACACTGTGCCACAAAGGATTAATTATGAATAAAAACTTATGGAATAGATTTGCTACTTCAATGCAATCACTACCATGTAGAGTTAAAATAAGATAAAGAATTCTTTTCCTAAGTTATGGCAAATTATTGATGTATTGGGAAGAAACACTCTAATTAAAATTTAATCTTAAATTGACGTAGATTTTGGGGAAACCTCATAACTGTCTTATAACTTGCAATTCTTTTAATTCATATTTTACTTGCTAAATAGTGGTATAATTGTTGCTCCTTCTTTCTTTCTTATAATTTATTTTTATTACCGTATATACCCGCATATAAGTTGAGATATTTTGGACAAAACTAAGACTCCAAAGTGGGAAGGGGGTCGACTTATACGCGGGGCCATAAAAAATTAAAAGAATCAGAAGTTCAAAAATTTCTTTATATAATGCAGTTGTTTTCTTCCCGCACTCAAATTGGACGACTTATCAAATATGTCACTTACTTGAAGTAATTTCATGACTTAAATTATGTGACGAACTAATCACAGAGTTTCATACTTTAACTAGAGTAAGTTTCGATAAAATGTACGTATAAGTCTTTATAATAGTTATTGTTCATTCATGAAATACTTTTGTTAACAGGCGTACATGTCAAAATTTAAAAAACTAGCCCATGCAATAACTGAACAGTTTTGAATATTTCTTTTAACTTTTAAAAAGGAGAAATGCAGATAGATTTTACGTACGCGAATCTTTTCCGGAACAAATTCTAGAAGAAGGATTTTGATTTTGTTTATTTACCAAGGTATTTTTTATCGTATATTTACTTTTTGTTTCTCGGATGATTTTGAATAAATGTAGTACTTAAAAAAAAAATTTTCCGAAGTTTCTCGGTCGATTTCGGAAGTAAGGGGTCGACTTATACTCGGGTTTCTTATTTTTACGAATTTTTTATGTCGAAGTGGGGGGGTCGACTTATACGCGAGTATATACGGTATTATTATTTTGTCCATCCTGATGATTTATTTCCAACCTGCAGCACAAGAACATTTTTGCTTCTTTAGGGAAAAGGTGTTAAATCTTTAATTATCTAATTGTAGCTTCCCCAATGTTTTTTCTGTATATTCATCTGATTATTATATTCTAAGATGGATTTCTGTGACATGTTTTGCCGACAATGAATCATTGTTGCATTTCATTTTCAAGTTGTAAGAAATATATTTAACCAAGAAATTAGACTAGTTACACATCAAGAATTTTTATAATTATAGTTGCAACACTGATACTTTTGCAAGAATCCTTGATTTGATGAGCAAGATTTTAAGTTTTTGCAGTGTATTGCATGACTCTGTAATAAATATATTTAACCAAGAAATTTGACAAAAAGTCTTTATAGTTCTCTTCTGTGTAGTATAGTCCTCCCCATCAAAGTAATGGGAAATCGGGAATCCCCCCCCTTTTTTTCTGTTTTACTGTACTTTTTATAGTTGTTGCACTCAAAATGCTTAGTTTTTGTATTAATCCAACATCACTCTGAGACTGGATTTTCCCTAGTTTTAGAATTCGAACTGTTATGTATGCTTCTCTTCTGTGTACTATAGTCCTCCCCATCAAAGTAATGGGAAATCGGGTATCCCCACCCCTTTTTCTGTTTTACTGTACTTTTTACTGTAAGAGCATATTCATTGATGCTGAATGTTAAAGCTTTGTGGGTATTTACTATATTTTTAATCCTTTAATTAAAATATTTCTTGAAATTTATAAATGATGTTTCATAATGCCATCTTATTCTGGTAAATTTATCTTGATTATAGCTTTTGAAGGTGTTAAAAATAATGCATTATTTTAGATTCTCAGGAAGTTATACAGAGGCTGTTTCCATGTTTCTAAGAAAAATTTGCTTTGCTATTAAAAAAAAATGCCTGCTTGAAAAAAAATATTTTTAATGCAACTGTATATTTGAAAGTGTAAATTATCATCTACTACTTGACAATTTTGTTTTCATGCGAAATGGCACATTTAAAGAAGCAATGGATGGAAGGCTATGTCTGTGCTTTTTCTGAAGAAAATTATTTGCATTTAGTTATTAAAAAATGCTTTGAAAGCCATGATTTTTTATATCCTAAGCAACGATACAATAAGAAAATAAAAAAAAACTTCAAATTTTGGCTTCAAGAAGAAAAATTGTTCAAAATACATATCCAAGGAAGAAACAATGTTTCATATGTTGTGAACCTTAATGCTAAAAGAAAATCTGCAGAGTCGAAGGATTATTGCCATAATAATAAAAATTTACTATGTGAACTGTAATTAATGCTGATTTTGAATCAGCATTAATCCCTTTGCAAAAAAACATAGTATGCATCTTCTTTCTCCATGGCATATCGCCAAAAGTGCTGCAGAATTCTGTATGAGAAACACTTATTCAGACAAAAATGTTGCCACAATGGATGAGTCTTGGGTATATTTAAGTGACCACAATAAAAGAGATTCATTTATTATCATCAAAGAGAAGAGAACATTTTTCAAAGACTCAAAGTTTTTCAAAGGGGTTTATGAGCATTGCTGGATTATGAAAATTAAAGAGAAAATAAAAATTAAATAGAGTGCAGGAAACTGTTAATATCAACTCCACGTATTATCAGGAACATACTTTATATCCAATTTTCAAATATGAAATATCTTCTCTTTACCCACAGTGCCATCAATTACTAGAATGCATCAAGGCAAAATAAGCAGCCGCACATCAAAACCCACTGTTAATATCCTGGAAAAAAAAATGGAATAAGAAACATGTAATCAAGGCCATACCTTTCACTCATATCCCTACTGGTTCCTGAAGCAAAATTAGATCACTTAAAATTAGATTAATTCAGGAATACGGTTTAGAATCTGAATTCAGAAATCGTGTTTAAAACGTTGTTAATTTTGCCACCTACTATTGTTAGGGTGAAAGAAGCTTCAGAAAACTTAAAATTCAATGTGCATGGGTAGTGGATGGAAGGTAGATTAAAAAAAAATTAAACTTGAATATTATTTCAATACTTTTTATATTATTTCAATGTTATTTATCAAAAAGGTACTTTTTACTTTATATATTGATATTTGAATACATGAAAAAAAAAAAAAAAAACATTTGGAAAAAAAAAAGTGAAGAAAAATATTGTCGATTTTACTTTGTAATTAAAAATTCACTGTAATTTGCATGGTAGATTTTGGAAAAATAATATTTTCGATTTTACTTTGTTAAAAGCAAGAAACTTTTTTAAGAAGCTTGACTATTAGTGAAATACATTTTATATTATTTCAGTGTTATTTGTTATATCAAAGAGATACTTTTTACGTTTTTCATTTAAAAATTATAAATTACTACACATATTGATTTCTGAATATGTAATGTTATGATTACAAATATTCTAAGGTGTTTTTTAATTAAGAAAATAAATATAAAACTTGTGTACAGGAATGATTAAAGGCAAATTCATTTTGTTAGAAATAAAAATCTTCTATTTACCCATGTTTTAGTGCTGCTGCATGTATACAGGGGCGTAGCTAGACGGGGGCATCTGTCCCCGGGCGCAGAATCCAAGGGGCGCCAAACTGATGTTACAACATTTTAGAATTAAATGTTTTCCATCCTTGGCAAGCAGTAGGGGGTGCAAAATCTTCAGTTGGCCCTGGGCGCTAAAAACCCTAGCTATGACTCTGCATGTATAAAATCTTCATGATAACCATCCATACTATGCATCTGTTTCAGCAATTTAAAGCAAATTGGACGTTTTACAGAAGAATAACAAATTTAAACATGATGTTGAACTTTTTAACTTGTTCGCCTCGAAAAAGAAAAGACCTGGGATCGATGCTTAGTAATCACTCATTTTTAAAAATTCACTTTTTCTCCTTAAAGTTTCTCAAGACATAATAACTTCCTTTTTCATGAATACATTTTTCTGCAAAATTATACTTTTATATATGAATGAGCTATAAAAATTTGCAACATGATTATTTCGATAAATAAAGAATACATGGTTTTGTGTTTGT